CAGCTTAAAAGCAGGTGAAAGTGGAATTCAGACAATTCGCTGCAACGTAACAGTGCTGCATGCAAATATAACTATGGGAGCCAATTGTAAATTTCCATTTCCAGCAATGGAAATATATGGAACCATTTTAAAAATGGAACGGACTTTGTGACTGTCAACTTTCATCTTGTTTATATTAGACCATTTCTTTGGAATGACATCCACAGAAGCGAGGCAATGCTCATGTCAGTGAGAATGAGGCCTAATCTAATTTTATGTTGTGTGATGGGTGTGGGCCTTTTTACAGATGAAAGGGCTGGTCTGTGTTTTACTCAGCCACTGAGGTTGGCTATTCAGTGGCATTTGTTCACCTACTTGATTTTTGAAAAAGAACACCTAGGTACATTCATGTGTCTGCATGTATACACACTTCAAATGCTTGACAGCGGCTCCAGCATGGGGGACTGCAAGAATGTTCTTAATCGAACGACTTCCTTAATGTCAATCTACACTTTTTCACACAACAGGATAGAAATATAAAAAGCTGCCTTATACTAGACTATTTGTCTGTGTAGTATTGTCTTCCTTGAGTGCCTTTGGCTCTCTCCAGGGTGTCAGGCAGAGATCTTTTGCATCATCTGCTACCCAATCCCTTTTTATCTGCAGATAGTTGCACAACCGTCAGGTGAGGGTTATCAAAAGGACAGGATGGATGGTTCCACTGAACCACACTGGCAGCAAAATGAATAATCAGGGGCAGACCTTGGGGTCTTACATTTCAGCAGCGCCTTGTGCAATGCCAAAATTTGGTGGCGCCCCCTGCCTCTCGCACTCCATTCTCCACAATAGTTGTGGTGTCCCTTGCAGTGCCCCCTAGGCTCCATGCCCAGTGTGACTGAAGTGGTTGCTCTCCTCTAAATCCGCCTCTGTGAATAATCCTTAAATACTGGAAAGCCTAGACCACAACAAGCACAGAAAACAAGCTGCAATACCTCCTGCAACCATGAGAAAATTCTACTCTATGAACTACATAATCAGTCAAGTTTCAAAGAGTTTGGGGGTGCATTTTTGGAACTCTTCACCAAGTGATACCCACTTTATGCCTCCTTAGCAGTTCTTCTATAAGTGGAAGGAGGCACAATGTAGGGATGGAAACCTCCCCAACTAAATGGATGTTAAACTGGGACTCCAGCAGAACCCTGACACTCATTATCTGAGCCTGCAGCATGCTTAACAACTGTACAACAGAGATGAAAATACCGTAGTTAAAAAGAGGGCATGAGTTTGAAGAGAAGTAAGGAAGCTGGAATAGGGGAGGAGGAATAAAGGACTGTATTGTTCCATTGTAATACTGTGGAAAACCCTATTATAATATAGATAAAACAACCACAAGGTTGCAAGGATTACAGCAGGGACCTTCTCCAGGTAAAGCACTGAGAGATCTATAATCCCGACCTATTCGCTGGTATTTTTAATTTCTTCTAATTCACAACCAACCAGAAAGGATCTCTATCCCTGGCCAGGCAATTAGGGGGAAGTCTTTTCACTGACTTCTCCTTGTCGTTGGGCAGGTGGGGGGATCTCAGCCAGCCAGCCAGCCAGGGGCGGCAGCACCCGTACAGAGCTTGCCCCTCCCCATTTTGGGGGCAGCAGTAGGGTGTTTAGTCTCGTTTGCTGAAATGCCTCAGGCCGCCCCTGAGCTTATCCTCCATGAATTTGTCTAAACCTATTTTAAAGTCATTCCAGTGGCCATTACTGAATCTTGTGGCAAATGAATTCCACAGTTTAAACTATGTGCTGTGTGACTATGCACTTCCTTTTGTCTGTAGTGAATCTTCCCATCTTCATTGGCTGACCCCTGGATTCTAGAATACTGAGAAAGGCCTGTCCACTTTCTCCATGCCTTGCGGAATGTTATACTCCACTATCATGTCTCCCGCCATACTCACCTTTCCTGCCCCGAAAAATAAAAAGGCCCTTTCAAAAGTCCTCCACAATGCCATGTAAATTGTCAACATAGTCATCACATTCCAAAGCAGCAGGACCAGCAAACTGGAGAACCTGTTGCTGTGTGTCATCATCAGACAGTTATGTGGTGATCTCATTCCCATCCAGGAAGACAAACCTAGAAGGTAGCGAAACTAGAATCAGGGAGCAACAAAAAAGCCAAAAGAGGGTGCTCCATTTCAAGGTCTGGCCATCTGTTTGCAAGGCCCAGGTGCCTGTCTCGGCTCACTCCGAGCAATGAGGCTCCCAGAGCTTCTGTATTATTTATGCCGAATGTACACATAAAACTTCCTACCAATGTACGCATTCATTGCAAAGGTCAAGTATGTGCTCAGTTTAACTTTGCTGATGGCTCGTGTCATGAGGTAAAAGGAAGTTTATAAATATCTCAGTCCTAGCCTATGCCACCCAACAACATTAAAAGAACAAAAAATATTGGAGCTAAATGGGCACAGGGTATTATTTATTTATTTATTTATTTATTTATTTATTTATTTATTTAAAAAACCTCAATTGTTTTATTTTTTACGAATTTCTGTTATAATGTCCTATGTGTTTATTATTGAACTTCTTCTAGGCCAGTTTTTCCCAAAGTGGGAAATATTTGCCCTTGGGGTGAGGTGGGATTCTGGGGATGGGGGGGCACTGAGAGGCAAGAAGGGGGCAAGGGGGCACTGGAAGTGTAAATGACTAAGGCTTTGAAAAGCAGACCTCAGTGGATCAAGTGGAACAGTTTTGTTGAATCAACTAAACTAAATGGTTTCCTTGGATTTTGAATAAATCTGCAATTAATTGTTATTGATTTGAATTTTATGCCGTTATTATCTTCCTTAGTGAATCGTGGAAACTGCTGTTCTGAATAATGCTTTTGATAGGGTAAAGTAGGAGGCACTGGGGGAGTGAGTTTATGGAACAAAGGGGGCAGTGGCCCCCCAAAAAGTTTGGGAATCACTGCGCTAGACCTTGGCCAAGTTGTCCAAGATGTGAGGATCCAGGAGATGCCAGAAGTGGCCAGAAAAATGGTTCTTGAGCAGGAACTCCTGCTGGTCACCACTGAAGACAAGAGAGAGAACAATTACCAGGGAGTGGAATGCCCCACCTTATCAAGATTAGGCTATGTTAAGGCAGGGGCTCCTCACTCTGCACCAGGCAAGCAACAGGGTAGCTGATTGGCTGGCTGAAGCCCATGCCTGATTGGAGCTGGTGCCAGTGAGTCTACATATGTGCAAGTGAACATTTGCAAACCCACCCTTGATTTTATAGTGCCCTTCTCTGCAACAATTGCAGGGTGGAGTACAACAAAGCAAATCCAAACACAAAATTATTTAAAAATTCACACAAAATGTCTACATAAATAGTATCGTAGCAGTGTCATACTTACAATTGGCTTCACCTATCACCTATCACGCAGGTGGCACTGTGGTCCAAACCACAGAGCCTAGGGCTTGCCAATCAGAAGGTTGGCAGTTCGAATCCCCACGACTAGGTGAGCTCCCATTGTTTGGTCCCAGCTCCTGCCCACCTAGCAGTTCAAAAGCACATCAAGTGCAAGTAGATAAATAGGTACTGCTCCGGCAGGAAGGTAAACGGTGTTTCTGTGCACTGCTCTGGTTCGCCAGAAGTGGCTTAGTCATGCTGGCCACATGACCTGGAAGCTGTCTGCGGACAAACACTGGCTCCGTCAGCCTATAGAGCAAGATGAGCACCACAACCCCAGAGTCGTCTGTGACTGGACCTAACGGTCAGGGGTTCCTTTACCTTTACCTTTATCACCTATTAAAATCCTGGTGAAAGAAGAGCATCTTCACCTGCCACCAAAAGGAATACACTGCATAGCCAAGGCACCCCTCAGTGGGGAGATAATTGACTGTTGTGAAGGCACAACCCAAAAGGCTGACACACCCCACCACCACCACCTGTTTCTAGTAAGGATGGGAATTCCCCTCCTCCTTCGACAGATCATCCTAGAAAACAACTGCACCAGCTGTGACTGGAAGATGCTACCCTGTGCTGGACCAGGATTGTCCACAAAGTCCATGTGGTTATCTTGCTCTCTATTTTATGCTCTGCAATGTGCAAACTTCCCAAATTATGAATATGTATGACAAATTATGGACAATAATCTTCCACTTCATGGAGAAAACGCCATTATGCAAAGAAAATATCCCTTGACTGTGAAAAGCTTTAGACATTTGCCCTCCAATCAGCTGGAGACTTACTTTCAAACCTCTATGCATATCCATCACAGCCTTAATCTTCAAGTGAATTATCCTGGTTAACTAGGGTTGCCAAAATCTACACAACCAACATTGGACTGCCATATGTCCAGATTTTCTCAGAAGTTTCAGTGATTTCTGCCCCTGGATGCTGCTTAAGGGGGCTGAATACTGACTATGTCCGGAAAATTCCGGATGTATGGCAGCCCTAGGCCAAGCAGTTGTCCAAAGAGAGACAAGAGAAACAAGTCTCTTGTTTCTATGTAGATGGAGTTCTGTGATGTGAAAGGCATATTGGCTGCAAAGCTCAAAGCTTTGGATTGTACTCCTGGGTTGCAAGACGGCTCGATTTAGTTGCAAACCAGTTGCTATAGCAACCAGGTAGCATGTATGCTTCTTCAGGAAATACATGGATTTCAAAGTGGGATGTTTCCTTTGTCAGTGATATAGATTTGTCTTGTTTCCTTGGTGAGTTATCTTCTAATTTAAATGAACCCATTTTGGATGAAATACTGAACTACTGGATCTTATGATGATGAGTTATCTGGCAAACTCAGTCCATAATCGCGTCTTCAAAGTTTGCCCATAACTAGCATTCTGCAGATGAACCAGTGGAAAGTTTGGCTATTAGCAAGGATGACTGATTTTTGCTCTGAGCTGTCACACACCAGCCTCCCTGCTCCCATCCATAAATATATTCATTGTTATTATCTATTTAGGAAGTGCCTATAGTAACAACCTTTAAATCACTTGCAGCTTAAAGTATAATAAATTTTATTAACAGCACATTAATCAATCCCTCAAGCTACCCAGCATTCAAATGCCACATGTTGCTCTCAGATGTTAAGGAAATCTGAGATCCTCTTTCTTTCCCTGCTTTAATGAGTAGGAAATATTTACTGACTATAAGGCGGCAGTCCTAAATACTTCCTTGTAAGACCAGAAAGAATTCAGTGGAGTTTTGCTGATGTGTTTGGATGAAGTTAATAAATAAAAACCAGTGATTTCAAAAACCCTGCCAGTTTAAGATCAGAGTTAAGGCTATTTCATGTTCGCTCAGGCTCCCAAGAGCTGGAAAATTGGAAGCTTAAACAGATGTACCAGATGATCAGCAATGATGTTGTGGAATGTCACAAACTGTGCTTGCTAATAACCTACCCTCCATGTACCCACATTTTCCCTTGGTCTTTCAGACCCAGATCCATATGGAGAGCCTGGAGTTTTGCTTTATGAAGCACCTAAAACGTTTTGCATATGTAGTTCCATGACATTTGTGGCTGCAAGAGCATGTGGTGTGGTTGCATTCTGTGTACAGGAGAATACAGGGTGTGTTTGCAGGGGGGAGGTTGTATAGTTGCAGGGATATGTGTTGGGATGGTGCGGAGGGGTGCTTGTGTGAATTTTGAAGGGTGGCTGTTTGTCAGTTCACAAATTGTTTCAGAAAGTAGAAGTTCAGTAGGTGTGCCAAGTCAGATGAATTCCCCCCATCCCTACACACGAGTCAGCCTGAAGATACTGGAGTTCTTGATAGAAACTTGCCAGACCTGCTGCAATGTGAGAGCCGGCATGGTGTGATGTGGCGCAGTCAGTGTGGCATAGCAGTGTGGCACTGCCATGGAAATCTTTAGGAAATCAAATAAATGAATTCAATGAATGAATTGGAGGATCAGGCTAGGACTGGGGAGACTCAGAGCCAAATGCCCCCTCAGTTATAAAATTCACTGGGTGACCTTGGGCGAGTTATTACATACGGTATATCTGATCTTAGCCTACTACACAGATGGCAAGGATAAAAAGCAGAGGCAGACTATGCATTCTGCCTTGAGCTCCTTGGAAGAAAGGTAGGATTTAAATGTGGTGAATAGATACAATATTTCCCTGATGCTTCACTATACCAACACTGTCATGGGAAAGCAGCATAAAGAGTAGGCTTTTCTCTTTATCTTCTACCACTCTTCTTGCTGAAATGCTGCACTCTGCTCTCCCAGTGTGAAACTTGAGTCACCTATTTGGTTTCAAGCCTTTCAATTAAGTTTACGTTCTGATTTGATGGCTGGACATCTTAAGAGCTGTAAGACAGAAAGGACATAGACTCAGGTAAGCTCTGTGCACAGTGCATGTAACAGATCTCCCCTAGCCACCATTGGAAAAGCCCAGGGAGTAGAGGCTGACACTCCAGTATGCTGCTCACTGCATCCTCATCAGCTCTCTCTTTCTCTTCTGGAATATATGCCAGAACAGCCAGTCCAGGAAAGTCCCTAATTAGGACTCCATCTTTGGGGAAATGGGACATCTCTGAGGACATCTATTCCAAGGAATATGAACCCTGACCTCATCTGCTTACAAGCCAAGGAACCTGTTGTGCCAAGCAGATCTACTGACAGAGAAGAGTTCTTGCCTGCTAGCTAACATGGCAGTCTAGAACAGTGGTGGGAGAACCAAGCTGTGCCCAAGTGGGCATGAAACTACCCGTGGCCGCTGTAGGAGAAGATATATTGCTTAGTTATTATCCTTCCTTGCTCACATTAGTGAGATCAGCATAGGACCATCCTTTGCAACTTCAACTTGGAAGCTAAGACAATGTTGATTTAAGCTTCTAGCACAATAATCCAGGATGCTTTAAGGCAGACTGAATTTTCCTTGGTCTTTCCCCTCACCCCCTTAAAAATAATAATCACACAGTTTTGTGAAGAACTAAAACTAGTATTTACTTACATAATTTAGGCCTTGAGGGAACAATTACAATAGCAAAATAAAGGCAGGTTGATAACCGCTATGTAAGTTACAAATGTACAAAATGTAAGTTCAAAAATGCTCTCTGAGCTGCAGAGCTCAGACATGCATGTGTGGTCAGCTTAGAAGTATGATGAAGAAAGAGACAGATGCCCAGGAAAGAAGCTGTTACAGCTTCTAGCCAATGTAGTAGTCAAATAACTATCTCATATAGTTCTCTCTAGCAAATTTTACAGGAGAGCTCTGTGAGCTTTAGCTGCTTTATATACCTATATAGCAAAACATGAATTGGTGGCTTGGCTGCAGTAATGTCCCACATCAGCAGGCAGAGGAAAGAGGCCTGGATGTTTTGGATCTGAAGACTTCAATGCATCTCCTGAGGGACCTGATCCTTGGTGCCTAGAGCTGACACAGCAAAAAAAAAGTCTACATCACCACACTGCAATGGTTTGCTGCTTGATTATTCCCTGCCCTGCTCTTCTCGCACCTTGTACTGTGATCTATGCACTGCTCTTTGAATGTATGCACCCCAAAGGATAACACAGAAATGCATTAGTGCAAGGAGGAACAAACTTAGCAGAGCTTGACGCACCTTGCCCCAGGATAAGAAAACGGCGATGACACACTCTATAATTGTTTAGGCTGTATTTGCAACTCATAACAGCCACCCTCATGAAAATCCTGAGCAGCAGAACTTTTACTTTCTCCAACCCCATGATTCATCAGAGCACGCTGGGGTCATGAACTCTTATCTTTCGCATATTTTTGCACATGGAGTGCAACAATGAGCATTAGTAAGTGGCAGCCAGACTACAGCTCACTTACCTTGCTTATTATAGGATATTCTGTTACATCTTTGCTTCACCCTTCCTTCCAGGAGCTCTGAGCGCATCATCAGTCTCTTATTCCCTCCTCACAAGAGCCCTGTGAGGTAGACAAGGCTGAGAGAGAATGGCTGGCCCAAGATTGTCCAGTGAGCTTCTGTAGCTAGGTGGGCTATTGAACTCAGGACATGGAATCTTGCAACACTTACTGCACAATGGGCGGCTGGTTCTCTACTTTTGTGTTTCATCTGTTTACACTTTGCATTGTAGAATCTTCTGGGGTTCTTTGACACCTCCCCTCTCCCAATAACCTCTGTTTTGCTTGTCTTTACGTTCCCATCTGCAACAGATACAGCATATGAAGAAAGAGTGCTTCTGGGTCACATAAAAATTTTGAGCTCTAGACATAGCAGAAGCATGTCCCATAGCATACGTAGGTCTCCAGCCTGTGAGCCAAACATTACAAACCAGGCAAAGCGTAAATATTGCATCAAGGAAATGACATGGAGAACTTTTCACAAGTACTTCCCTCTTGGCAGGAATCCTGTCAGCGATTTGGAGGAACACATGTGCTTCATGGTTAATGAGGACAACTCGTCAGTCAATGGATTTATTTGCAAACACCTTACTTCATTGTCTGCCTCTTACCAAACAACCATTACTTCATCGCCACTAATATCGTTAGGAGGTTGCCGAGTATTGACTGGAGTTAAATATCACTCAATCTATAAACTGCAGCCAATCAACATGCTTTGTGATCGCTACTCAAAATTCTCAATAGGATTGAATAATGGAAGGGAGGTAAATCAAAGCTAACAGCTTCTAGCTCCAGCCAGTCTGTCTCCACTCTAGGCATCCATTCAGCTGGGAAGCATATCAAAATTTATATCCTCGACGTTTATTGTGTGGGGCACTGAAATGATGAGGAACCCTACACTCATGCCGCAAGAGCCATTAAGAGGAGGCAGAGTCTATATTTGAACAGTCCTATACAATTGCTCAGTAGCCAAAAACAGATGGAAGAACTGAAACATTTATCTACACACCAGCCAGATTTAATCTCTGTACAATGACAAAAGATTTTCTTTTTTGGAAAGCAATGTCGCAATCCAAAGCATATTTATCTAGATACAAGTCCCACAGAACTTTAGTGGGATTTATTTCTGAGTACTGTAAACACTCAGGATCAGGTTGCAAAGTTAAAAGAACATTTGCACTTATTTTTTCTTCAAAATCAGAACACAGGTGTGGGTGTAACAGAGTGATTTTGAAGAAACATAAATGCATGGCAGTGTTTGTTTCCTGCAGTACTGGGTTTTCAGAACTAAAATATTGTACAGATCTACAGTGCTTGTTTAATCAATATGGATGACACATTTGATCAGCTGCTGAAAGAGGCTCTGTCTGCATTCTGTGATTTGGGTGGGATATCTGGGTACAGAATTCAGCATTCTGAGAATCCCAGGTGTCAGTTATAAAAAACAAACTCATTGTCTTTATGCTCAGTGAAATCTTCAGACCCATGAGAAGGGGAAGCAATAAGTTTTGGGATGTGGATTTAGTGTCCTGCATCACTTCCCATGACCATTGTAAGCAAAATTAATTATGCAAAACAAGAAAATATATGCAAATGGCTTGAAGTACATAACTTACAAGTTAAAAACGACAACTTTTTTTAGAGCATTTTTGAGGTTACATTGAACAGAATGTTGATTTTTTAAAAAAACCTGCAGACTATACTCCAGCCTAACAAAATGCACAATGATCTGCTATTTCCAGCACACATTGTTAATTGTTCATGACAAACACTGAGAGCACTGTCACAGTCCAGAGCATGGCTGGGTATGTCACTGCAAGCAATACCAGCCTTGGTCCAAGCACATACTGGATCCTGCATATGAAAAACCTGCAAATTAAAGAAACTGGTCTACCATGTTCCTCTTCATGAAGCAGCATTCACTCCTTCATATCCTTGTGTGTGTGTTCTTAATTATTAGCCTAAAATTAAAGAAATTGGCCTGAATTGCTACTAAATGTCCTATTTTCTGGCTGTGTTGGGTAAATATATTCTCCAAGCACAACTGGACAAGGAATTTTTAAGAAAAACGCTTCATGTCGATAACGACTTGCACAGTCACAAATCACCAACACATTGTTGCTTTTTCAGTGCTAGGTAAAAGATGTGTTAATTTCCCCAGTCTTGTGAAGTACGCTTTTTCTCCACTGTTGTTTTTTCTGCTGTGTTTTATTATATTGTTGTTTTTGCTACGTTCCAAGTCATCCTGGGAAAGTCTATGAAGGACTGTATATAAATCCTTAAAATTATATTTTAAGGTATATATATATACCTGCAACCGAGGGGCACTGGTGTAGTCATACCTTGAGTTGCACAATACTTGTAGATGTGATGGATGCTTTTACATAGTCACAAGGGTAAGTTAAATAGGACAGATCTCTCCCTAAGCACTTGCTAGCAATCAATTTGCTTTTGTCAGCATTAAGTTAGTAAATATTGCACAGTGAGCTTTATATAGGGGAAGTCACTGTCTGTGTATTTTCCAGCTTTCCTCCTCTTTTCAAAAGAGACTAGCAAAGCAAGCCTATCTATGTCTACTCTAAAGGAAGTCCTATTAGATTAAGTGGGACTTGCCACACCCACTCACCTAGCTTGCTTCTGAGTAGACATGGTTAGGTTTGTACCGTAAAGATGCAATCCAGAAAGCCAATATATATTAACCTGGGGGTAAGGTTCGTTAAACTCAAAAGGACTTCTAAGTAGATATGAAAAGGATTGTACCGTAAAGATCCAGTAGCTTTCTTCATGTAAACCACAGGTGGGGAACCTGTGGCCCCCAAGTTAGGCTTGGGCCACAGCACTGGGCAGGACAGACAACAGAAAGTGCTTCTTCACACAGCACATAGTTAAATTATGGAACTGGTTTCTACAGGGAGTAGTGATGGTCACCAACTTGAATGGTTTTGAAAGAGAATGAGACAAATTTATAGAGCATACAGCTATCAGTGGCTACTAACCATGATGGCTATGTTCTGCCTCCACAGTTGGAGCCAGATGGTGGGAGTCACATGTGGGGAGAGGGCTATTGCACTCTTGTGAGCTTCCCACAGGCTTCTAGTTGGCCACTGTGAGAACAGGATGCTGGACTAGACAGGCCATTGACCAGATCTAGCAGGCTATTCTTAGGTTCCTATGTTGGAGTTGGAGTTGAACAATCTGGAGGGCCAGGTTCCTCACCCTTGATGTAAACCAGGGATGGGTAATTTGTGGCTTTCTGAAGGGCCATAGGTATGCCATCCCTAATGTCAACCATCATCAGGTGTGTCCTCAGATGTGCATAAGATGTGAATGAACAATTATGGGTACAGGTGGCAGCAGTTTCATAACCATGGTGCAAGATGGAATGGAGAACAGGCTCCTGCATTTTTTCATTGTGCTACAGAAGGCAAGCTGCAGCTGCTGAAATTTTCAGTTAAAGATGCATGAGACCTCTTTATCATAAGTCCTACCCTATCATGATGCTATAGCAATGGTCACCATGTCTGCACACATTATATGAGCCAGTATGTGAGGACATTTGTCAAGCACTAACCAGAATTTTAAGCTTTTTACTTACAAGGAGGAAATGCTGAATTCTCTCAATGAAATGCTTAGCTTTGACTGATCCATGACAGAGAAAGGTAGCCCATTAATCAGATGCTTGTCTGACTCTTCTTTCTTTCTTATTGCCATTTGTCCCTCACCTCAGAGCCCAAGTTCCCTAGGCAACAACCTGTGCTTAACATCCTGCAGCAATTAGGTTTAGAACAAAAACAAAAATGTACATGGAATAATAGCAATGATATGAAAATATGCTGGAGAGGTAGAAACTTGAGACAGTGGCATTGCTGGACTTCCTTGTGGTGCTACTAGTTCTATATAAAAGAAGGACCTTTTTATTTTCTAAGTATAATTTTCTCAACTTGTGCTGTATAAAGCTAACCAACACTGCAAGAGATTAGCTGGCTGCTAATCCCATCTGCGCTCCAATTGCTCATGCCTTTGGAATGCACTGAAAACCTATGCTACATATAGGCTAACATCCTATTATTATTTTTTAAAAAGAAAGGTAATCCCTAGTCTGCCTCAAACAATAACCAAGGCTGCATTTCTGTAATAATTAATTCATTTCCCTGTCACTATGGGTCACTGTCTGGAAAAGGGGAGGCCACAAATAGACAGTTGTTTCACCACATATCATATCTACTACATACAAGAAAGTGGAGGAGATACTGGGAAACTCTTACGAATTTATGTTATGAAGAGCTGTGGACCCAAGAGCCCTCTAGTCCAGTGTCCCATTTTTAATAGTGGCTAGTCAGGTATTTCCGAGGAGCCTATAGCAGGACAAGAAGACTGGAGCACCCTTTTCCTCCTCTTCCTGAGACACACCTTGGAGGTTAATTAGGTCATCGTACAAAATACCTATTGACAGCCTTATCTTCCATAGTGGAAAGGCTCAGTGGTAGACCATCTGCTTTGCATACAGAAGGTTCCAAGTTCAACCCTTGGCATCTCTAGATAGGGGTGGCAGGGGTCCCCTGTTTTAAACTCTGGAGAGGCCACAATCCAGCCACACAAAAATATTTGAGGTGCAAAGCATGGCATGGCCAGTGAGCTGTGTGGCCTGGCAGAGTTTTGAGGGCCAGACAGGTCTCTACCTGGAAGGCCATATCCAGCCCCTGGACCCTGAGGTTCCCCATCCTTGCAGTATAGGGTAAAGCACCCATTACATTACAGTAAACCTGAAGGAGCGTCTCCACCCCCATCGTTCTGCCCGGACACTGAAGTCCAGCGCCAAGGGCCTTCTGGCGGTTCCCTCACTGCGAGAAGCCAAGTTACAGGGAACCAGGCAGAGGGCCTTCTTGGTAGGGGCACCCGTCCTGTGGAACATCCTCCTACCAGATGTCAAAGGAAAAAACAACTACCAGACTTTTAGGAGACATCTGAAGGTAGCTCTGTTTAGGGAAGCTTTAAATATCTGAAGGACTATTGTATTTTAATATTTTGTTGGAAGCAGCCCAGAGTGGCTGGGGAACCCAGCCAGATGGGCGGGGTATAAATTTATTATTATTATTATTATTATTATTATTATTATTAG